CTAACCCATCCATACCTACACCTCTTCCTCCAAAAATCAGAATCCTATCAAATATTCTTATTAAACCAGCAAATCAAACCAGTCAGATCGAATTACCTGTACCTTCTACTTCTTCTCTAAATATTCCATATGAAGAACCGCTGACGCCAAAGAAACAAAAAATATTGCATACACTCTCCTCTGTCCGGGCAACAAGTGCAAAAAGAAAGCAAAAATTAAAATTGCTAAGACGACAACTTTCTCGAAAAGTGAATAAGTAAAAAACGTTTGATACAGGAAGATGAGTTAGATATAATGTCAAAACTTGGGGGCCCCATTGAGATATGTAGCAGGCAATTAAAAAAAAAGTCTAACCTACCATTGCCTAAGAAGTATTCAGAAGAGCTAAAAGTGTTTTCCTTAACTCTCCACTATTACTCACCTGCTGCTTATAATTATGTAAGAAGAACATTTGACACTAGCTTACCACATGTCCGTACAATCAGTCGATGGTATCAAAGTAAAAAAGGTGAGCCTGGATTCACAAGTGAGGCTTTCAATGCCCTACAGATTAAATCAAATTCTTCCAATGAAAAAATAATTTGTGCACTTATTATGGGTGAAATGGCCATTCGTCAACATGAGGAGTTTGTTGGAAGCGAACGTAGAAGTTATGGTTGTGTAGATGTAGGAACGGGTGAAAATGAAACTATGCTTGCAAACAATGCTCTGGTTTTCTTATTAAATTGTGTAAATGGAAGCTGGAAAATTCCACTAGGATATTTTTTAATTTCAAGTATGACAGGTGAACAGAAAAAGGGGCTGGTATTAGAATGCTTAAAGAAATGTTATCAAGTAGGTGTTAGTGTTGTAAGTTTAACATTTGATGGTGTTTCTAATAATCTAACAATGGCCAAACTCTTGGGCTGTAATTTACATCATACAACTTTAAAAACTAGTTTCAAGCATCCATCAAATAATGAAGAAATTGTTATAGTTTTAGATCTGCCACATATGCTAAAGTTAATTAGAAATACTTTAGCAGAAAAGTATTCATTTGTAAATGAAGAAAATAAAATTGTTAAGTGGAAGTATTTCAAACAACTTCACGAATTACAGGAAAATGAATCTTTCCACTTAGCAAATAAGCTAAACTCGCAACACATAGCTTTTAAAAAACAAAAAATGAAAGTTTGTTTTGCAACCCAACTATTTAGCGAAAGCGTCGCAACTGCCTTAGATTTTTGTGCGAACATTCTACATATTGAAGATTTTAAAAATGCTGGGGCGACAATTAATTTTATTAGAAAAATGAACATTCTGTTTGACATCCTGAATTCACGAAATCTTTTGCAACTCAATTATAAGAAACCTCTATCTGAAAATAATTACAATAATACATGTATTTTTCTTGACTCTGTCGATAAATATATTAGTTCTTTAAGAACACATGCTGATGGTATACTTCTATTAGAAACTGATAGATCCACTGGCTTTCTAGGTTTAAAAATATGCATTGCAAGCCTAAAATTACTATACAATAATTCAATTGTAGAAAATAAGTTTTTAAAATTTTTGCCTTTGTACAAAATTTAGATTTATTTTTTTGTTCAATACGGTCTCATGGAGGTTTTAACAATAATCCTACAGTCAGGCAATTTTAGTCTGCATACAAAAAAAATTTAGTTCATGTTGAATTAAGAGATAGTTTTCGTGGAAATTGTATTCCTTTGGAGGAATTAACTATTTTAAAGTGCAATATAAGAAGCCAGCTAAATGTTACTTCAAAGGAATATGCAATGTCTGATAATATTGACGATTTTGAGAAAGTGAATGTTATTGAAAATGATCATGATTATTTACCAGATCCAGTCTCCTCCTTTTCTAAATATATAATCACTTACATTTCTGGATATGTTTTGTTTATTATTTAAAAAAGAAAATCATTTGTGAACAATGACTAGATGCTTTAATAACTAAAACTAGAGATTTGTTTCTATTTTCATTCATTGATATAAAGAATAAAAATGGTTTGCAATATCCATCGGAAGATGTAATAAACATTTGTTTAAAATGTGAAAAAATATTAAAAATTATGAAAGACTCTAAGAAAAAAACATCAGTTGATATCATCAGCACATTAGTTTTAAAAGAATTCATAAATTCTAATGTCTTTTCGAATATTATGCAGCACAGTTTGGACCAGTTTGTGTTGGATAATCATAGAATATTATTAATCAAGTGCATAGTTGATAAATATGTTAGTATCCGACTAACATATCTCACTAAAACTAGAGTTAATAAAGCTGGTAGCATAAGACATCAAAACAACAAAATAGTGTTGTTTAAAGGTCAATAAATATTTTTTTAAATAATAAAAAAAAATTTGAAGTGTCTTATTAAGAATGGGACACAGACAAACTGAAGAGTTACCTATAATTTTACCAAATTTGGCAAAACTTTTGGATGTTATAAGATACATTACACTTATGTGAACTCTAATTATATATTTTTTGATGTTTTTTAAGTAAATCATATAGGTACTTTTGTTGGGAACTTCAAAATTAAAATGAAGAATATTCGTATTCTAAGCATAGTTTTATTTTTAATCAGACTCTTCAGTTGTTCTGTATCCCTTTCTCAATGAGACACCTTGTATATAAACTTCCCACTTGAACAATTTTATATTTTTCAAGTATGTACAATACAGGTGTATCAGAAATTAAAGCAAAAAGACAACTTATAACAAAGGTTTAAATTTAGTAATGTCAAGTCATCCTTGCACCCTAAAAAAGTACCAATGAAGAAATTATTCCTCCAATGCAACCAAACAGTTATTTTCAGGATAATATTTTGTGTCAAATGTTATCTACAGCCACAGTTTTTCCTTTTAAATGGCATGACATTCAAAATTTTGGTCAAAACAATTTTCATCATGCACTTTTCTTGGAAATTCACCATTAGGATTAAAAACACCAGTTTCTAGAAACGTTTTCACTATAACACTAACATTACTGATCAGAAAAAGTGGTTAAAGTTTTCTTTTTGTAATCACAAATCGCAACTGAATGCCTATTTTTAAAATATATTATCTCTATAATTCCATTTGTATAGTTGTATGCTGTGCATCTGTGAGATTGTTGTTTATTATACATAGGTACCAATTATAGAAATCTTTAGTAAGTACTTGCTTGCTTACTTAGTAATATATGTACCTACCCTATATAATTTATTATTTCAAACATAAATAAAACCAACAACTATTAGCTGAGTCTTTTTAGTTATTGGTTTTGACAGAATAGTTTTGATCATGGTTTTCTTCCATCTACTTTTAACCATCAAGTCATACCTAGCTGAATTTTTGGTCTTTTTAAACTTTTGACTGTAGCGGGTCATATTTTTAATGTATGTCATCTGCAGCAGAAAGACCTACATGTTTTACATTTAAAAGTAATAAATTGTCCTTTCTACAAACTCGGCTGTATTTTTACTAAAATATATTTATTCACAATTCACGTAGTGGTTTGGTTTTCGGTTTGGTAATTTGATGTCATAATTCTCCTCATTGTCAGATTTTGATATTGGCAGCTTTGATCAAGACAAGAGAGTCCTTGAACGAAAAATCGTAGTTCGGGTTTTAGTTTTAAAGCACAATGAGATTAACAAATCTGATGCACAGTGTTAATCGAACGTTGATGTTCGATCACACAGTTCATATATCGGACGGTTTCGGCGAAGACAGAACAATATAATAATATTAATCTCTTTTATGGTCTTGGCATTGGCTTGGTCGGAAAACGGTTAATAAATAATAGTAAATAGTGTAGAAGTCATAATTGCGCAATGTCATCAAATTAATTTCGAATCCATCATGTTGAAACAAATCTTAGGTAAGTAAGTCATTTAAAAGTTGTAATTCTGCATACGGACTTTAATTATATTTGAATACGACCCTGCTTAGTCAACCATTTAAGCCACGCCCAGTGGTGTCATTTTTAATAAAACGTATCATATGCAAAACAATTGCCTCATGGCATCTCCATTAGGGTGGCGACATATGGTGTATTCTATCTACTTTACGTTAAATCATGAATAATGGATAACATTTAAATATTTTATGTCAAACACAATAAAAATAATATTTAAAAAACCCACCTATACATTTCTTCATAAATTGGCAGGCTTGGCAAGTACTACTTCGAATAAAAATAGCGTCCAAGTTGCAAGACTATGTCACAAGAATTTCCCACTGGCACCTATTGTTTGACAGGTCGTTGGAATGCCTACATTGATTTATAATTAATCATAACCTTTAATTTAATTAATTTGTCATTTTTGTCAAAGTCATTCATCATTCATTGAAACATAGACCAACACGAACTAGATAACTCCCCAATCTATAAAATTAAATTCCATGATATATTCATTGTATTTTTTTAATGTACCCATTTCCCTGACAAAAATTATTTCAGGGGTAGATAATGATACTTTTTGGGAAACATTGGAATCCACGTTTCTTTTTTTCACTATCTCCCCTGATTAAACTATAACAGTAGATCGGGCTAAAATTACCGTTATATTTATTCAAGAGCCAGGTTGAGGAGTGAGCATAATTCAAGAGTGATATAGGTATCAAATTTGAGGAAAAAAAGGTTCTTTATTAAGTAAATGTTTCTGTCATTATGGTATTTCGAGTAGGAATATTAAATAATTTTTTGCCAAGTTCTACAGAATTCTTGTCATTAAATTCATTAGTTTAATTTTTAAGATATGATTTAAAAATATAATGAGTTTAAAATTAGGTAAATTAGTGTAGCTAATAAACATTGCTTTATTAACAAGGACTCACTTTTATTGTCAATTTAACGAGAGCTATTCAAGCTATTCAAACAGGTCTAGTTAAATTAGCTATATGAGTTCCGACAATATTATTTCCTAACTGTTTTGTAAAAAAAAACTCTCAGATTTTAAGAGAACAGAAATCAAAATATTACTTTAGGATTACTAAAAACTCACTAAACGTTCAAAATATTTTATTCAAATAAAACACAAAATAAATAAAAACAAAAAAAAAATAAATTAAGATTAAGGTATTTTGGTATCTCTCAGGCTGGTTTGTACTCAGGTTGCAAACCCAATGGTAACGGCATATCAAAACTTCTTCCATACGAAGTATGTCCATAACCACCAGGATGATGCTCATGATGATCCTCGTGTCCCACTGAATGAGAATTAGAATGGCTGTACACAGGTTTCGAAACTATTTCATAAGTGGTCGACTTATGTCCATGAGTGAGGGCTTTGAGTCCAATAATGGCGGATATGAGCAAAGAAATCAGACCGGTCATCAGGGCTTTACCTGCTATTGCAGCGATACCTCCTAGAGATAGGGCCAAGAGGGTGCCTTTCATCATAGCTCCTGCCGCCATCATCATTCCCATACCGCCGCCGCCGCCACCTCCACCACTTCCACCCCCTCCTTTTCCACCTCCACCGCCGCCTCCACCGATTCCTCCGCCTCCTCCACGGCCGCTTACCCTGGCTGATTCAACCGTGTCCTTGTTGAGTAAATCCAGGCGCAATGAATGGCTGTTTAGGTAGGAAGACACTTTTTTCATCAGGAACGCGTCCAGTCGAGCATCGGGATCGTTGGGGAAGTCCCTAGCAAGCTCGGCCACCATATCAGCCGTATTGCTTTTATCCCCGTTGTCTTCTTTGATCACCGATACACCCGGTATAACACTATAGTCGTCTTCCTCGTTTAACTTGTCGACCCAAGACACTATGTCCAATTTCAAACATGTCGTGGTGTAGGTGGTAGCACAGTCTCTAGACAGCGATTTTTTGTATTCACTTTTCGGTTTCGGTTCGGGTTTTTCTTCATCTTCTTTCGCGAAAATCACTCCGAACGTCAACCACAGCACTGATAAGAGCGTAAGAAAATTTTTCGAGAACATCGTTACGGAAAATGTTCTCTAAATGCACTGATTGTGAAACTGGAGTGTATCGTTGTTTATATAGCAAAGGCGCAGGGTATTTTAGAAAAATCTGTTTACTTGTTTATCAAGAATCTCCGATTACCATTTATCATGAATGGAAATTGCTCGCAATACCAGTTTCCTATGCGTACGAACATAAGCGTAACGTGAAAGGTTTCATTTTCACGTATACAAGAATTAATATGTATTAATTTTATTGAAGAAACAAAAGTTATCTATCAAAATTGTTAAAACAAATAATGGAGTTAAGTTTTTTGAAAAATAAACCAAAAAAAATATCCTGATTCGTGCGTGAAATTGCAGTTATTTATTTTAAAATACATATTTAAATGAAACATTATTTATACTAATTTTTTTCATTATTTCTAATTATATGGTTTTTAATAGTAAAGAGACAAAGCTACAACGGCCTCACATAGGGAATTCAATGTGTAAGAGTAAGAAGTACATATTTAATAGGTAATAGAGAGAGTAAGGGGAGGCGGGGAGTGTGGGGAGTGGGGGAATTAAATCTCTATTAACGCCGAAAGGAAAAATCATGCGATTACCAGAAGGGCTTAAGCGTCTTTCTCGGTTATTACTGGTCCGATTCAAACAGGAAAAGCGGCATCATGTAAAGAACGCGATATAGATGATCGTTGAAGAGATAAAGCCTGCGCAGTAGCAATGCCAAAAGGACCTAAGCGTGTTTCTCGGTTATTATTGGTCCGATTCAAACGGGAAAAACGGAATTAGGTAGAGAAAGTTGTACAGATTAACTTTTAAAAGAAAAGTCCTGCATAGTGCCAATGCCAAAAGGACCTAATTGTGTTTCTTGGCTGCTATTAATCATATTCAAACGGAAAAACGACATTATGTAGAAAACGCGGTATAGATTAACGTTTAAGATAAAAATCCTGCGCAGTAGCAATGCCAAAAGGACCTAAGCGTGTATCTCGCGTGTATCTATAGAGAACGTACTATAGATAAACGTTAAAGAAAAAAATCGACGTTTTGTTTGACGTTTCGTTTGATGTTTTCTCAAAAATCAATGTAATGTTTTATATCTAGACCTGTTTTCTAACTTTTTAATATTTGTTGTAAATCTACAGTACATCTTAGTATTTTTTTATAATTTCAGGTATATCGGAAATTATTCAAGGTGCTATAAAACCAGATGATCATCGCCTTGTTTTCTTTTTAGTTCTATTTGAAAATTTTTATTGTTTTGCTAATATAATGTGTTACGACTTAATTAGGGATTACTCTTTTAAAATGACTTTTGTTATTATACTGAAAAGTAACTATTTTAAAAAGAAACAATTGTCTTAATACTAAGTGCTCAGATTCCTAAAATATTTTGTCTGTAGGATAAATTCTTTTTCTTTTGTAAATAATTTTTAAAAGTTTTATTTTTGAAAAAAATTATTTGTTTCAGATAGTAATCATATGTTCATCTCCAACCTGTTATTCCTTATTGTATGAGAGACATCGCATATTAAACCCTAGAATACTGGTTATTCTTAAATTTTATGACACTTTTCGATCTTTGTCGGTGTTTGAGAAGATCCTAAACCGTCGTGACCCTCTGAGTTCTAAGACTAGTTAATGTTATATATGTTTTTTACATATTTTATCGAAATATATTCCAGTAAGGGAAGCCGGGGTATAACGGGCACCCGGCCATAACGAACATTAGCCCTACTTACCTTGATAAAAATGTAATTCCTACAATAACGTCCTGTGCCAGTTTACCTCACATGCAGTGCTACTGTCTTGTATAAGCATGTTTATGGCCGTCAGCGATATTTTTTTGTTTCAATAAGTGAAGTAAAAAATTTGTTATTTTCTTCCACAAATAACTTACAAGTGCATACAAAATTGTGCACTACTTATAATACTTGATACACATGTAGAGGGTTTTAAATTAAAACATAATGAAAACTAATTTTAAGTGTATCTGACCTATAATATGGTGATGTTGAATATTTCTTAGGGGTTTAGGTACTTAAGGGGATAATTACAATAAAAACTAATCGATTACCTTACGTGGTTTTATTTAAGTTGATTTCTTCGACCGGGACAGTCTGATTATCTTCTTTTTATTTTTTCCTGGTCTTGCCATGTGGAAAATAGTGAGGTTATGTTACACGATGTTAAATGACACAAATATTTTACAATTATGTTTAATAAAGCTGAATTATGTCAACGTGAAATATTGAAATATTTATAGATTATTATTACCCCTATATGTTATAATATTAGATTCACTAATTTTATATGGACCTTAAATATTCATATTTTCGGCGTACAACGTCATTCGTAATTAAATATTTTATAATGCATTCAATGCTTGAAATAATCGGACAAGTTCAATATATGGTAAGTTCATACTATAAACCAAGTAACTTGATAAAAATTTACAACTAAATATATATGTACAAATTCGAGTAGCCTAATATTTCTCAAAATATATCAGGTTGTTTCAATGTCCAATAACGCAATCCGAAATCCCGATTAATAAAGCATAGAAGGTTACATTGTATAGCAGGTTAGGGATGAGACTAGGTATACCTCCGGTATGAGACCAGTCGATGATTCTCCGTGGCTAGTGTCTGGATATATCACAAGGGGATTAAACTAGGGACGTATATGACCAGTCAATGATTCGCCATGGATGGTCTGGGTGAAGATCTCTTCGAAGGCGACGTTTACAGAGGAATATAATGTCGGAAGTTATGTACAATAATTATGAATATGTTTGGAGACATAAGAGGAAACATAAAAATATAAAAAAAGAAGGGCTAAAAGAGAGAAAAACGTAAGTATCTTTATATATTATTAATAATAAGTCTTTATTTAAAGTACCTTGCTGTGGTGTGGCCTCTAAGATTAATAAATTTGCTAAGGGCCTCCTGATCAAAAGTTTCTGTAAGTTTTCCAACCCTTGGTTGTCGAATTTCTATTCAACAGAACAATTCGGAAATCTTCTTATCGTAGAACTTTTGGAAAAATCCACAAAAATGTTGAGACACTTGTTCTTGACGAAAGCACTCATAAGAAGAACAAAATGGCATATTCCCTTTTGATAAGACCCTCCAAATGATTAAATAGTTTGTTAGTTTATAAGTTCCAATACTTGAAAAGAGACTAACTTATGTCTAATCTAGTAGGTAAACAAAGACAAAACGTTTTAATTAAAAGTCTAGTTCTAGTACATTTCTTAGAACTGGTAGATGAACAAATGATTACTTAATTCATATTACTATTCATTTATTCTAATTGTCATTCAATAAAATCCTATAATTTCTTTTAACCTGTAACATGTTGTTCATGGCATAATGATCAGGGCAAGATGAGCTGTTCGTTTTGCCCCATCACCAATTACGGTTCTTGGACGTGTTTAATGAAACATCTTAGAGTCTAATATGCCAATGAAGTCAAAAATTAGTTACGTACGATTCCTAGGCGAGTTGTCTCATATGATTATGGATATTTCAAAAGTCTGAGAGCTAAATTTTATATTTACATTAATATTAAGTTTTTTTAATGAAAATACAACATTAAGATTGTAGAAATTAAAAATTGTTACTGAATAATAAATACATTATAAAAAAATCTCATTTATATATTCTTTTTTAATTTTATGAGTTTACTAATTAGACAGTTATAGTTTTATTAATTTTTTTCTTAATGTGTGTTCTATGTTAGTATTTTTCAGTACCACTTCATAAACAGCAGTTTTAATTATAACCCAACAGTAAATGGTCGATTGGAGAATCCCACCAGAGCATTATAATTAATTTTTAATTATTTAAATTAATTAAAAAATATCCCTACCAACGGTGGTATTCGGAAGTCCAGACTTTAACCACTGAGCACCCACCCTAGTCTTTGGTTAAATGTAATAATGTAAACTTCAAGGCATTCATATCAAAGATATAAAATGTTTTGCTTTAAATTTACCACTAAAAAGTAGCTATATAACTTTTTTAGTAACTTTTAACAATTTTTTTATCAATGTTTCAAATAACTTTTTCAATAATTTTTTAGTAATTTTTTAAGTAAAATTTTAGTTACAATTTATTGGTAATCATTATAATAACTTTTAAGTAAATTTTAAGTAACTTTTTAGTAACCTTTTAGTAACTTTTTAGTATCTTTTTAGTAACTTTTTAGTAACCTTTTAGTAACTTTTTAGTAACTTTTTAGTAAATTTTTAGTAACTTTTTAGTAACTTTTTACTAACTTTTTACTAACTTTTTACTAACTTTTTACTAACTTTTTACTAACTTTTAACTAACTTTTTACTAACTTTTTATTAACTTGTACTAAGTTTTTACTTACTTTTACCAACTTTTTATTAACTTTTTACTAACTTTTTACTAACTTTTTACTAACTTTTTACTAACTTTTTACTAACTTTTTACTAATTTTTTTCCAACTTTTTACTAACTTTTTAGTAACCTTTTTTAACATGTTCAGTAACTTTCTCTTAGTTTCGTTTAGTCTAAAAATGAAATAGGTGTTCTAAAATTATAGAGTAGATATCCATATGAGTGTAGAAAAAGGTTTTTAGTGAGATTTAAATAGTTATTTAATCTTTATATCTATCTTAAACCAGGATAAGAATTATTGTACGATAGTAAAAAAAAATTCTAAAAAGAACCAAAATAAATTCCAAATATTATCCATATCTCAAAGTGGTCCGAAGTAGATTAAAGGGAAGTAAAAGGCTCAAAGTCTGTCGACCACATAAATTTATTAGGTTGGGTTGCAAGCGCTTTCGACCTAAAAGGTCATCATCAGGCAAAAAAATTTTTGTGAGTAGGTAGGTAGGTACAATCTGCAATAATAATTTAGGATAACAAAACGTTTTTATAGAAATGCTAGGTATCTTACCACTATGTGTCCACAGAAAAAATTAAATATGTTGAATTAAAATTTTAAATTGTAAAAATTGTTGTAAAAATTATATAAATTATCTTTTATAACCACCTTCATTAGATGAAGGCAGGCGAGGTTCAAGATTGAACAATATCCAACCTCGAATGAGGGAGGCAG